AGACCTGTGAGGACCCTGGCTTTTCCAGGTGGGCTGGATCTAATCCAAGTCAGAAGTGGAGAGCCTTCCCAGATCATGGTTGGGAGCAATGTGCTACTGACTGACTTTGAAGCCAAGACAGGCAGGCATTCCAGATAGCTGCAGAGGCCGGAAATAGCATCAGGAGGTGTAGCCCAGCATTCAGACTTTAGCTGGCCAGACCTCTGCAGGACTTAATATCTAAGGAACTGTAGGTAGCGAATTGTGTTGCTTTATGCCACAAATTGTGTAGGTATGCACTATAGAAGAGACAGAAGGCTAAATATGGGTATATAGAGGGATTCTGTCCTCCTGGACTTTCCTTTCCTTCCCCTTTACTGTCTGGTAAGTAGACTTCTGGTTCCAATGGGGCACACAGGTCTCTCCTTTCCTCCTGAGTCCTCCGACCTCCTGAATCCTATTGGAGAAACCATCCTTAGCCTGATAGATGGAGTGACAGAGTGCTTCTCCCGGGCCCCAGGGGGCTCATTCAACTTTGGTAGTTGGAACTGAGGCTCAAGATCCTGGGATCTTGTCAATGAGCTAGGCAGACATGCATCTTCCTCTCAGGCTTGCCTGGACCTTGCCCCACACCAGCTCTGTGCTTCCCAGCACCTACCCTTCATGGGGAGCAGCATGGCCTGCAGTAAAAATGCTTCCACAGACAGCAAAAGGGTCTGCGGATTGCTTCCACCTTTTAAAAGAGCTTTCTAGCTCTGAGGTAACCTTTTAAAGGATGTATGAACTTCTGTGAATGAGCTATGGGGGCACATGGGATACGGGGGTGAGGGTGGGCCACTTATGGTGCTGACAAAGCTGGAGGGCAGAGGCAGAAAGCCCAGGGGAAGTGGGTATCAGTGGTTCCCTCTGCATTTATAAATGGGCTTCCTGACCCTTCCTGACTCTCAAGTTCACAATCAACTGTGTTGTATGACACAGATATAGCCAAATGTTAAAAAACAACACAGAAAACCACCGAAATCTGTCTAAGAGCAAGCTTCTTTTTTAAAAAAAAAAATACAATTCTCCCTCTAGGATGAGGGTATGACTTAATATCTAAGGAACTGTAGGTAGCGAATTGTGTTGCTTTATGCCACAAATTGTGTAGGTATGCACTATAGAAGAGATAGAAGGCTAAATATGGGTATATAGAGGGATTCTGTCCCCCTGGACTTTCCTTTCCTTCCCTTTTACTGTCTGGTAAGTAGACTTCTGGTTCCAATGGGGCACACAGGTCTCTCCTTTCCTCCTGAGTCCTCCGACCTCCTGAATCCTATTGGAGAAACCATCCTTAGCCTGATAGATGGAGTGACAGAGTGCTTCTCCCGGGCCCCAGGGGGCTCATTCAACTTTGGTAGTTGGAACTGAGGCTCAAGATCCTGGGATCTTGTCAATGAGCTAGGCAGACATGCATCTTCCTCTCAGGCTTGCCTGGACCTTGCCCCACACCAGCTCTGTGCTTCCCAGCACCTACCCTTCATGGGGAGCAGCATGGCCTGCAGTAAAAATGCTTCCACAGACAGCAAAAGGGTCTGCGGATTGCTTCCACCTTTTAAAAGAGCTTTCTAGCTCTGAGGTAACCTTTTAAAGGATGTATGAACTTCTGTGAATGAGCTATGGGGGCACATGGGCTATGGGGGCCACTTATGGTGCTGACAAAGCTGGAGGGCAGAGGCAGAGAGCCCAGGGGAAGTGGGTATCAGTAGTTCCCTCTGCATTTATAAATGGGCTTCCTGACCCTTCCTGACTCTCAAGTTCACAATCAACTGTGTTGTATGACACAGATATAGCCAAATGTTAAAAAACAACACAGAAAACCACCGAAATCTGTCTAAGAGCAAGCTTCTTTTTTAAAAAAAAAAATACAATTCTCCCTCTAGGATGAGGGTATAATTGCTTAGCAAAGGGGAGCCTGGAAGTCACAGGCTGTATGAACTGTGGGCAGAGAGCACAGCAAGTCAGGGCGAGCACTTTCCTTAGCTCGCAACACAGATGGGAGGCTCCAGATGTGGGTGTGCTGGAGTGAGGGCCCCTCGAGTGAGGGCCCCTGGAGTGAGGGCCCTGGAGTGAGGGCCCTGGAGTGAGGGCCCCTGGAGTGAGGGCCCCTGGAGTGAGGGGCCCTGGAGTGAGGGGCCCCTGGAGGGCCCCTGGAGTGAGGGGCCCTGGAGTGAGGGCCCTGGAGTGAGGGCCCCTGGAGTGAGGGGCCCTGGAGTGAGGGCCCCTGGAGTGAGGGCCCCTGGAGTGAGGGGCCCTGGAGTGAGGGGCCCTGGAGTGAGGGGCCCTGGAGTGAGGGCCCCTGGAGTGAGGGGCTACACGAGGCGTACTTTCATCTCTGACACCTTGTAGCTGTAGTTGTAACCTTTCCATCTCTCCCAATTGATGCCATTTGCAAAGCTCTTATGGACACCCCCAAGGTAGAGGCCATTCAGGTTAGATATGTGACAATGCTTGTACCACCAGGCTCCGTGGTACATCACTGCACAGTTGGCGTCAGACTGGTCATTGTCCCGGTCTTTGGTGGAGAAGAACTGATTGTTATGGCTAGTCAGGGAGTCGCCTGCTCAGAGAAAGCATGGGTCATGCAGATGCCAGACGCCCTCCATCACAAAGCCATACCTGGTCCTGCCTCTGCCCTGTGATTTGCCTATCCTCGACTAGGAGAATTCATTGGCTGAGGTCCAGGGAGGCGAAATCACCTGCCCAAGCCTTGGGAAAGAGGATGCAGCTGGCTTGACTCCCCCCTTCTTGTCCAATAATTCCCAGCAGCCATCATTATCTCTGCCCACAATCACTACCTGTTTCCTCCAGGACCCCCTGAGCAGCACTGCCAGATCCACTCTTTCCCACCAGCCCTCTCTACGGCTTCTCCCGGCTCCCCTGCTAGCCACAGCACGGCCTTGCAGCACTGGAGCCCATCCTCTCTACCTCCGCACTGGGGGTACAGTTTACTTGGGACCACTCACTGTGGAGCTGACTGTAGGTCCCTTAGTCCTGGGTCATGGAGCAGTCCTGGGAGCACCAGCAGACTGCATCCCATGGTCCCCTGACATAAAGATTGCAGGTGTTCATATCTGCATTTGCCAACTCAAGGCCGCTAGCAGAAATGGACCAGGTCCCCTCTGTACCCAGACTGGTTTAGATGCCCCCACTTTGTGACCCCTCTCACAGCCGCTCACCGGCACCGCCTCCAACAAATTTTCCCAGGATGAGCTTGTATTTCTCAGCCTCTCCCTCAATCCGGAAGGAGCTGTATTTGGCAAAGTTACTCTTGCCATCAAAGTCCACAAGGTCCACCCGCAGCTCGTTGGTTCCTGTAGGGGAAGCAAAGGCCCAGACTTTGAGCTATTGCTACCTCTGGGCATGAGAGATGGGATGTGGACATTGTGAGTGATATCTGAACTGGGCAACCAGACGGAATTCACCTGGGCAAGAACCAACATCCCTTGGCCACAGGAGGACCTCGGGGTACCCCATATTTCTAAACACCCTCCCGTTGTTCTGCAGGCTGTGACTGAAAAGCCACTGCCGTGTTTCCTTGGTGTGACAGAGCATGCTTTATGCTGTGAATTCTCCCAGAGGGCTGTGCGCTATGACCTCCGCAGCATCAGCATGGGTGTGAAGGGGCTTTTGCAAGAATGGTCCCAGCATTGGCTAGAGGACAGACGACTGGGACGTTTACAGCAGACTACAGGGCAGGTCATGAGCTAGCAGTGTGCATCAGAGTGGGGCGAGGAGCTCCTGGGCGTGGCAGAGGGGGGCTGCTATGTGTGGCTGGACAGGGCAAGGTGGCATCTACGGGACCCAGAGGTCAGTGACCCAGGTGGACTGACAGCTAGAAATGGGAAGGGGTGTCCTCAAAGGCGGCCGTCCCCTGCATCCCTCTTCTGCTGAATCCTGAGATGCCAGCAAGCCTGAGGCCAGGCAGGTCTCACATCCCTTGATTCTCTGACCATCTGCGTGACCACAGGAGGGGTCACGTGCCCTGGGATGTATTTCTAAACACCCTCCCGTTGTTCTGCAGGCTGTGACTGAAAAGCCACTGCCGTGTTTCCTTGGTGTGACAGGGCATGCTTTATGCTGTGAATTCTCCCAGAGGGCTGTGCGCTATGACCCCCGCAGCATCAGCATGGGTGTGAAGGGGCTTTTGCAAGAATAGTCCCAGCATTGGCTAGAGGACAGAAGACTGGGACGTTTTCAGCAGACTACAGGGCAGGTCATGAGCTAGCGGTGTGCACCAGAGTGGGGCGAGGAGCTCCTGGGCGTGGCGGAGAGGGGCTGCTATGTGTGGCTGGACAGGGCAAGGTGGTATCTACGGGACCCAGAGGTCAGTGACCCAGGTGGACTGACAGCTAGAAATGGGAAGGGGTGTCCTCAAAGGCGGCCGTCCCCTGCATCCCTCTTCTGCTGAATCCTGAGATGCCAGCAAGCCTGAGGCCAGGCAGGTCTCACATCCCTTGATTCTCTGACCATCTGCGTGACCACAGGAGGGGTCACGTGCCCTGGGATGTCATTACTTTATGCTGTGCATAGTAACTACCTGGGCTCCTCTCCTTAGTGGCCTAGGTCTCAGGGGTCCAAGATCACCCCATCCAGCTAGCACCGCCTACCCTGGGTAGTCAGGGCATGGAGATTGTCATTCCCAAGCCAGAACTCCCCCAGCTGACTGCCGAAGCCCTTCTTGTATGCCGCCCAGTCCTGAAAGAAGTCCACAGAGCCATCGAGCCTCCTCTGGAAGACCTGGCACAGAGAGGGGTACACAGGTGTCAAGAAGACAGGCCCAGGGCTTGGGGACCAAGCCTCAAAGAACAGCAGGTGTCCATGGCCCACAAAACACCAGGGACCAGTGTCCCAAGCATGATGTTGTAGATCCC